TTCCGTACAAAGTAGAGGGTTAGGAGTTTGACAGCGAGATAAGTGTAAATCCAGGGGAAAGGCAGGCATTTTTCATCTCCTAATTTGTATATTTATTGTATAATTAAGCAAACATTTTACTCTCAAAAGTATTTTCCGTGCAATTAATTAGTAGACAAGAATTTATTTGCTTTTCATATTAAATTAAATTAGTTATAAATTTTATTTGTGTTTTATGTGACAGTATTTTGCTTTTCTTATTTTTGTAACGTTTTGAATATCGATTTTTTTGGTTAGAAAACTTATATTTTGATATATATTTCGGGGCAAAAATATTATATAAATTTTCATATGTTATGTCAACTGTATGTCTGTCTGTCGGGCGATAAATAATACCGAAAAAAATAAAAATCCTAAATAAATGCTAAAAAGAAAATTCATTCATACAAACAGTTAAATATATAAAGTTATATAATGTCTCAGAAATATTTGAAAAGAAATATTTCAAAAATGTCTCGTTTTGTGACTGACTTTATCTTATCTACACTTTTCTCTCCTCATAGTCTCTCCACTAAAAAACCTATCATTTTATTGAAACCTCAATACACTCTCAGTGTATATATGGTGGGGGGAAATGTGTGTGTATTATGTGTTTATCGATATTTCGCATCAAAAAATTGTTTTTATGGCTTTCATATTCACAGACAATAGCGATATAAGTGAGGCATAAATCTCTCAATACTTTTTTCACTGCTCACCAGTCGAGTGATCGATACGTTTCCCATGTATTCCCTGTCTGTCTCATTGAAAGTCATTAAAGTTTTTTGTCAAACAAATCTCTTATATACGGTATAGATATTTGTATTGAAACCAATTTTTTTTGTCAGTATTCAACCCCAAAAATATTACCAGTATAAACACATACACAAATTTTTGACATAAAATATATATTTTTATATTTCGTTCAAATCTTTTCGTTTTATAAGACATAAGTCTTTGAATCAAATTCTAGTTGAATCTGACTGTCAGACAGAATATGGCTTTTTATGTATGAAAAATGCTTGTAATATGAAAGACATCTATCTATCCATGAGTTTGTGTATAAAACTTAAAAATTCAAATGCATTCAAATAAATGCATTAAAAGATATAATATATTTTTGTTGTGAATATTGTATTATTATATGTGAAACGCGTTTTCGTGTAGTATTTTCTATCGATAAATGGGTTTTTATATAAAAAATATACTATAAATAAAAAAGATTTTTTTCTCTCAATTTTTTTTCGTTGAAAAACAAATCCCTAAATATTATCAGAAAAACGTCTCAAAACACACGAAAGACAACAACAAAAGGAGGAAATAATCGCAAACTGAATACACAATACGTTTTATATACACACAAATCGTATGCCTTTTTCATATTCAAAAGCCATTGCCATAAATAATCCCTTAATTCAGGCAAAAATAGTGCCTTTAATATCATATCCGCCTCTCATTTCTCTCTGCAAATCGTATTGTAATTCATATAAAACTTTTTCGGATTACATTTGGGCCCAGAATTAAAGTGCAGACTAACTATCTGTATGTGCTTTTCAGATGTAGTGCCACAGAGATAATGATAGCTCTGTTAGCCTTTTACGAGGAGTTTCTCTTCTCAATGGAGAAAAACCATTGTATTTATGGAGAAAAACCTATTGTCCTCTCATTTACGGAATAAAACGCAAACATATATTCATGAGAGGAGTGTCTCGGGACGAGTGCCAGTCATACACGAGTGTATAGTATATGATGAATGCATACCTGGCTAGTTTTGAGCCGGTGCTCAGCTCGTTGTAGGCCGAGCTGGCGGTGATGGCAGTGTCGGGGATAGCGCCTGACTCCATACCCAGCCCCGACACACCCAACGCATCGCATAACGCACTTCTGGTCTGTTCCTCTTTGGTCTCATTATCTGCAAAAATGGCAAAACATATCATAAATTTTTTTACGTTAAAAAAACAATTGAATTAATTAAAAATCGTAACGCAAAACACAAAATTTTTGGTGTATTTGAAATGCAAAACATAGGTTATAACCAGACGTTAACCACAATATGTATGATTCACTACTCGTTAATCTATAAATCTCTCCGAAAAAAAGTTTTTTTTGATTATTTTATAACACAAACCACACAATCATAATATGTGTTCAGTTGTATAGGACTTATATATATTTCGTACAGAATTTTAAAGTGTTTTGGATTTTTGTTTTTTGGACGTCTAAATATAAATCAAATTAAATCATTAAATTTTTCACTCTTTTGAGAGAGAGAGAGAGAGAGAGAGAGAGAGAGAATGTAAAAATAATTTGTTTTAATTAAATAATAAAATTTATGGCAACGAATAATTTTATACGCTTTGAATAATTAATAATTTTTTGTCGCTTGCATAGCGTTTATAAATATTTTGTGTGCGGAGTGTAGAAAACACATTAAAAATTATAATAAATATATTAATACCGCATTAATAATACAAAGAAATTAGATGTGTATTGCCTAGATAACAAAACGGTGTTATCTATTCGTGAGTCACGATTGCTATTTGTATTTCTCATGTTTGACTTAATTATGTTAACCCATAGAAACTGACGTGAAATAAGGCAACACAAGTCACCACCGAAAATAAGGGCCCAAATCATTAGTTGTGTTATAAGTTTTGCTCTCAAAACACACCGAAAAACAGGTCAACAGATGAAGAATAAAAAGTCTGACAAAAAAGCTATAATTTTGTGCCGAAAATAATAAAATAAAAATCTTTTTTGATTTGTTTATACGTCTGTCTCTCCGAGAGCTAAGGATTTATAATATAAAGAAATCTATAATACGGGAGAAATCTTTCGGGAAGTTATTCGGATTATATTGTTTTCCGAGGGGATGGCGACGCCGGGAGGGGGACGGGTATGTGTGTAGGATTGCTCGAGTCGTCGATACTAAAAAAGGAAATGCACCCAAAGATTAGTTAGCTTTAGAGGCACTCATTTATCTAATTAGTTGTGTGTGTTGTAAGGGATTTGGAGGCAAAAAACACGGAGAGAGAGAAGAAATGACTGTAAGAGTAGATAAAAATAAAACAATGGATTGAATGCAGTGATGATGAGTGCTGTGAATGATTGCCAGTTCACTCATACGGAGTGCGAAAAATATTAGACCATATAATTCATGGCAATACTACTCATAATCAAATCCTTTAGCTCTCTCTCTCTCTCTCTCTTTCTCTCTCTCTCTCTCTCGCACACAGAGTTAGTGCCCAAACATTAATTTAACGATAACTCACACTACAATTTTCAACACTAAATAATATTAAATAATTAATGTTAGAAATCTCTTTACACACCAAATGCTTGTGTATTTGTTTTGTTATGTAATAAAACATATAAATTCATATAATTTTATTATGTATTTGTATTTTTAGGTTTTTATCGCAACTACAGAAAGGTATGCCGTGTTATCTGGAAATGTATTCACATTAGGCTCAGGCATATTCTTCATGAGTCAGTTCCTGATTATTCAACGAAAGGAAAAGTATATTATGTTGTATTTGGTTGTGCCACTACAAACATACAGTTCCCCTTATGACGACAAACCCTTTTTTCCAATTCATAGCGTTTGACAATTAAGATAAGGGCTTATAAAACACAACATTTTATTTGTTTTGAATGCAGTGATGATGAGTGCTGTGAATGATTGCCAGTTCACTCATACGGAGTGCGAAAAATATTAGACCATATAATTCATGGCAATACTACTCATAATCAAATCCTTTAGCTCTCTCTCTCTCTCGCTCTCTCTCTCTCGCACACAGAGTTAGTGCCCAAACATTAATTTAACGATAACTCACACTACAATTTTCAACACTAAATAATATTTAATAATTAATGTTAGAAATCTCTTTACACACCAAATGCTTGTGTATTTGTTTTGTTATGTAATAAAACATATAAATTTATATAATTTTATTATGTATTTGTATTTTTAGGTTTTTATCGCAACTACAGAAAGGTATGCCGTGTTATCTGGAAATGTATTCACATTAGGCTCAGGCATATTCAGGCATATTCTTCATGAGTCAGTTCCTGATTATTCAACGAAAGGAAAAGTATATTATTATGTTGTATTTGGTTGTGCCACTACAAACATACAGTTCCCCTTATGACGACAAACCCTTTTTTCCAATTCATAGCGTTTGACAATTAAGATAAGGGCTTATAAAACACAACATTTTATTTGTTTTATTATGTTGTATTTGGTTGTGCCACTACAAACATACAGTTCCCCTTATGACGACAAACCCTTTTTTCCAATTCATAGCGTTTGACAATTAAGATAAGGGCTTATAAAACACAACATTTTATTTGTTTTGTTATCTGAACACCGAGTTTGAAGTCTCCACTCAATTACTAAATGAATAATAATTTCTATTTTATATGATAATCAAAATTGGCTTTTATTTATTTTGTAGCGTGGTCATAAACTACTGGTTATGAAAATCTCAGATATTATGAGTATATCCCGTAATAAAAGCTTTTGAGAGAAAATTGTTTCCAATTTAACTCAATTAGAGGCACACAAGAGATCTCACTGTCAGAGTGATTGCCGGTGGAGGGCACAGGTATGTCGAGTAGTATAATACCGTAGGCGAGAGAGTGTAGATATTTTTCACATGTTTTTTCACTTTTGTCACAATACTGGTATAATCTGTGGCCAAAAGTTTGTCGACCCATCCCTACCCTATCCATTGAAAAGTTTTGTTTTATTCATGTGTTTGCAAATTCGGTGCATTTCTACCGGAAGTGCAGTCAATGTTTTTGTGAGTCTATTATTAAATTAGTTTCTCTCTCTCTCTCTCTCTCTAACTCTCACTCTTTAGCAAAAATCTCGCCATTCATTGGCATTTCTATACAAACATTTGTTTCACACTTTAATGATTAGCAGAGAGTGTATAAGGAGTCAAATATGTGTGACAGACATCGCTCTGGAGAACAATATCCTCTCGATTTTAATTCACAACATATTTGCTGTTAAACTGTATGTCTATTTGAAAGCGAGAAATAAGCGAAATTTTTGCGGTATTATACATGTCTGTCCCTTTTTCGGTGTCGACTCAAATCACATAAAAGGCAAAAACCTTCACCAAGAAATAGACAAATATTTTTTATACACATCTCCACTAAGTTTGGGTTTACGAGAGAAATATTGTGGGAATTCAAGAGATAAATGATTTGAATATACATTAAACATAAGTGAGAAAAAATATTGTGATTGCAATGGAAAAGCACTTCAAAGATAAGAGGACTGAGAGAACAGAAAAATTTCAAAAACTTTTTTCTCAATTACAACAAGTGTTTGATTGTATTATCAATAAATAATTACATTATTTTTAGCATTGAATGAAAATGTTTGGTATGAATGCGAGAGAATAGGCACCAAAAAACTGATGACTTGTATTGTATGACAAACAGCTTATGAATGGCTATTAGTGGCGAACAAATAAATTCTCGGAAAGTATATAATGGATGAGCACTTTCGATGCCAATACTATGGCATAGTATGGCACTCAACCCCTAATACCTGTGACTTTAATACTTATTATGACTTTCATCTCCAATCTCTCTCTCTCTCTCTCTCTCTCTCTGCCGGTGTGTTTGTCACAAGAGTTTTAATAATATAAGCAAAACAAATAGACAGAGGTTTCTCCGTAAGAAAAGCGACAAATCTTTTAATGTATAGATAATCAGATTCTGTATGCAATCCGTAAGCGAAACACAATGTGTTGTCATTTGAATAACAAATACACGTTTGGTGTCCGACAGTCAATTACAAATAAATTCTCGGAAAGTATATAATGGATGAGCACTTTCGATGCCAATACTATGGCATAGTATGGCACTCAACCCCTAATACCTGTGACTTTAATACTTATTATGACTTTCATCTCCAATCTCTTTCTCTCTCTCTCTCTCTCTCTCTATCTCTCTCTCTCTCTCTCTCTCTGCCGGTGTGTTTGTCACAAGAGTTTTAATAATATAAGCAAAACAAATAGACAGAGGTTTTCTCCGTAAGAAAAGCGACAAATCTTTTAATGTATAGATAATCAGATTCTGTATGCAATCCGTAAGCGAAACACAATGTGTTGTCATTTGAATAACAAATACACGTTTGGTGTCCGACAGTCAATCAACTCAGCGCTCGTGTCTATCCCTCACTTTTCCCGGTATTTGTCGGCTATTTATGGCCACAGACTTGTATTATTAAAACTTATTGACCCAAACAATGTATCCGATGTTTGACTTATGTTTGAAAATTCAATTTTCGTTTATAAGTATTGGGTTTTAGTCGCGAAATTTAATAACTACCGTTGTGTTAGGCATTTGTATACTTAAAACTTATTGACCCAAACAATGTATCCGATGTTTGACTTATGTTTGAAAATTGAATTTTCGTTTATAAGTATTGGGTTTTAGTCGCGAAATTTAATAACTACCGTTGTGTTAGGCATTTGTATACATGTATTGTTTGTTGAATATGTATTTCTTGGGAACAGTTTCTTATCAATCGACGAGAGGGTCAATAATTATAAGCCGTATATAAGAGTAAAGTTTAGATAAAGACGTTAAACACAATATAAGAGCCGTAATAATATTGTTATTAACCATTGAGTCTCGAGTGTTACTATCGGTGCCATTGCTTTCCAATTGTATGAAAATATTAATACTGCAGTAAATATCTATTACTCATATAATTGATATATTTTTCAATACATTGTTGTCTCGCTTTTCTTACTCTCTCTGGAGATAAAAAGACAGCAAAGAGAGTGAATGAGTGCGTGAGAGAGTGAGTGGGAGAGAGTGGGAGAGAGAGAGAGAGAGAGAGAGAGAGAGAGAGAGTGGTAGAGAGCGGAACAGCATTATCATTGATCATATCCATGACATCACAATGACTTATGTGTTGGCCATTCAATCACTCAATAAGCCATTAGGTTTTGAACCATACTCTTTTGCTCTCTCTCTCTCTCTCTCTCTCTCTCTCTCTCTCTAATTTGGAGAGAATCAATTGTTTTATATTGAAGGGACAGACACTCAAAATTCAGTGTTCCCAATGAAATACTACTTGGGTTTGCTATTTCACTGAATCACAACTCAATCTCTATTATACTGATTGTATTCTTTTCTTTCTCTCGCTTTTTGTGTGACTTATCTATACTTTTATTTTTAGCGATGCATTCAATGATAACTAACTGCAAATGTGGCGATTTTTTGTGCACTTTTTTGCGCTCAGGTTTTATGACACTAACAATAAGTGAAGATATATTGGACACGAAAATGGGTCTAAAATCACAGCCACTATTGCCCGACACTATTGGTCACAATATTGTGGCTCCCATTCAGAGGGAAACTGCAATAATAATGTCTATATATCCGTATGGCTTCCAGAGATAGTATGCACTTAAATACTTAAATTTTATAACTTATCAGATCGTCAATTGAATTGTTATTATAGCTATACTTTAGTAGTTATAAAAGGCACTCATATTCCTGTCCCTCTCTCTCTCTCTCTCTCTCTTTCTTTCTCTCTCTCTCTCTCTCTCTCTCTTCTCTCCTGTAACACAAACACAACAATTATAGCATTTATTATGGCTTTGAATGCAGAATATTATTCCCGAAAATGATTTAGCATTGAATATCGAAATGTAAATAGCAGTGAAAATATATTCTCAAAACAATAGTAATGTATAATTTTCAATGTTTTCCGACGATAAATAAATAATCTATAAAACAATAAGAATAATCAAATATTTTTATATTGTATTTTAAGGGGAAAATTACTCGACAGTTATGTTTGAAATGCAATAAAATTTGATATCATTTTTATAGCGCACTACCTATTAGTTTAAATACTAGTACAGAATAAATACGATAATTACATGTGAATAATTTTTGTAAATTTTACTCAAACTGTAAATGCATTCATAAAAAGTCCAAATTTAAGCTTTAAATTGAAAGCTAATCATTAAAAGAGAGATTTCAACCGTATGTCCAACACTTGGATCGGCTCATCGTTTCATCTGAAGGATGAGATAATGTGTGTGAAAGACAACAGACATTGCGAGAGAGAGAGAGAGAGAGAGAGAGAGAGAGAGAGAGAATGTATAATAAAATTTTGTTATCCCATAGAAAATGTAATAAAAAATAGGAGTGAGAGTTAAGAAGAAGATATTTTACAACTTTTACAACACAACCAAACGTTCAATTATCAGCCATTGGGGTCTCTGTGCCCCTACTGTGCGCTCAATCTTTTATACAGATATAACTGAATGTATGACTGATTCACAGAAAAAAGACCGAAAATAAGTTATAAAATATATATATAAAAGAGTGAGAGAATGAGTGGAAAAATAATTTATATTAGATCTCTCTCTCTCTCTCTCTCTCTCTCTCTCTCTCTCTGCCGGTGTGTTTGTCACAAGAGTTTTAATAATATAAGCAAAACAAATAGACAGAGGTTTTCTCCGTAAGAAAAGCGACAAATCTTTTAATGTATAGATAATCTTCTTAACTCTCACTCCTATTTTTTATTACATTTTCTATGGGATAACAAAATTTTATTATACATTCTCTCTCTCTCTCTCTCTCTCTCTCTCTATCTCTATCTCTCGCATCTCATGAGTAGGTTTTGTGTCTCTCATTAAGATGTCGTCTCCAGCGGTGATCACGTCATGTAAAACATATCATCTCTATTAGTAATTAAACACCGATTTCAATGCAATGCCCCGAAACTGTTGCACCGATAGTTTGCGAGTGAGAAAAGATTACGTCTCTTAAGGGACGGCAACTCCACTACTGATGGAGTGAAGAGAATAAAGTTTTTTTGCTTAACATTTGGGACTTTAGAGCTGAGAAAGAATGAGAAAAAAGTGAAATTCAATCACTTATACGGTTTATGTAAGAGAGTATTGATTTGCGTTTTCACTACACTTTATAGCCGAGTCTTAACACTATATGCCTGAACATGGAGTTCAGTATTATATTATAAAAGTTTGAATAAAAGTATCGATTTTTAAAGGCATATAAACTTTGCGTTTCTTTAATGATATTCGAGAGCAACGAAGAAAATATAGTTAAATGACTTTAAAATGAAAATCTTTTGCCCTTTTGAATGGAATTAATCCATAATTTTGTGCTATTTTTCTCTCCAATTATATTTGAAAGTCTAAAATTTCATTTACAATACAATACACACAGACATCCAATGAATCGCCTTACGCTCCATCGGTGCCATAAATTGTGTGCAAATATTCATTCATCTCATTGTTGTGTAACCAATGGCTACACTGTTTGTGACAATATTGTTATATACTATTATATAATATTATATAGATTATAAATTTGTACAAACTTTTCATTTGTATGAGAAAACAATTTAATTTTGCAATTCTTTACACTCAATATATCATATCTGGTTGTGTTGTTGCGCTAATATAAGTATAATTTTCTTATCTATTGTATTATTGAACAATATTTCTGATATTGTAGTCCTGTTTTAGACTAAATATATTTTATCTCTTGTTTCTATTCAACGATTGTATGATTTTTTGCATAAATATATTAAATCAATATTTAATGAAATATATTTCTAGCAAACATTTATCGCAATTCTTATCATTCATTTATTCATTCAGTTTTGAGACTACTTTTAAGGATTAGATTATAAAAATAGTGTTTGCATTGAAAATCATTCAGACATTGAGTTCGCTATACAAATGCTGTTATACTTCATCAATGAAGTCATTGCCTGTTATGTAATAAAGCGTTCATTTGACGCGAGATTTCATTATATTTGCATAAATGATTCATTCATTTAAATAAATATTCCTGTTTTTGAATTGAAGTCAAAATATATAAATATATATATAATTCTCTATTTTATTTATGTATATTTTGCCTAATTTTCTAATTCCGGTATTCAATCGCAACGACTCCTAAAACGTTTGCTAATTATTTATGAATCTTATTATGCGAATCAAAATACGTGTAAAAATTTTATTTTATTATATATAATATATTATATATATATATATTATATTATATCTATGCGGAGAATATGAGAAATACGGCTCAAATTAGTTTGATATTAAATTTGATTAAAATTTAATTTCTGGGCATCAAATATATCATTACTTTTGGCTTGAAATTTGATTTAATATGCATTTAAAAATTCACAAAATTACTTTTTACTCTACCATATTATTGCATTTTACAATGAATTATGTATTATTCAACTGTATTAAGACATATGACAATCATTTTGTTGAATAAATTAATGTCAAAAATATTATGAAAATTTCATTTTTTATTACACACTGTTCGCGAAGATTTTAAAAATATAATTTTTATTTCATTTTGCAGTCAAAATATTCACTCGACTTTTGAAATTTAAATATAAAATAAACGCGAATTTAAAAATTTTAGCGTTTATTGTAAAATGAGTTTTGATAATCATGTTTGTGCCGTAAAGCAAACAAATTAAAGTCAAACAAAACATGACTTTTAAACAAAAACTTTTTTCACTAATGTATTTCAAACACACAACGCGTACGAAACACTTGAATTGAGTTTTCAGAGAGAAATTTAATTTAGAAAAATATTTGTCAAACATTAAGTGGAAAAACATTGAGAAACAAAAGGATTTGTTGGCTATAAACTAGGAGACAATTACCTGTGTTGTGGGCATTGCTTTCCGCGTGAATTGATATCAGTGTTGATGAGATGAGCGCCAGTATGTGAACCACATTCACAATGCCTATAATCGACCCCATTGTCAACGATGAATGCATTTCTTTAGTACATCAATGACTAGAAAACACACGAAATTAAAAATACTAATTAGTTTTGGTATTCAATCGCACAGCACGGACTTTTTTAGTTTTCATATAACTATATTAATATAAATTAGTTTTTTTTAGCTAAAATTCATTACAATTATTTTTTTGCATAGCATTTAAACCGGAATCACGTTTATTACGATATGATTTGTATTTGAGAGACAACTATATTTTCAGCACAAATTCAATACCGAGAGATGTTTAACAGCACCAGAGATATGTTGAAAAGTAAATTTTGTTGCAATGTTTGACAACACACTTAACAACAGTTTCAAAACATTGCAAAAAAAGTTTTATTGTCATCTCCTATGGTATAAACACGAGGAGAGGTTTGTGTCAACTGTTTATTAGACGAGCGAACGAATCGTTTGATTAATTGGAAAAACTGTCGAAGAGGTCAGAGAGGGAGGAGAGGGCCTGAGAGGGGGTACCGGCGCTGACACAGCCCTCGCCAATGGTGCCGGCGGTCAGAGGTTTTATGTGTTTATACGTATGTGTGACCCATAGCTAACCCATACCAGTGCCGGCACTGTCGAGGCAGTGTATCTGTGGCCTGTTTTTTGAAAAAAGGGGCAAAACTTGTAATAAAATGTTTGATTGCTTTGCACTTCAAACACACATTCTGTACGGTTATATACACTGTATGTATGTATGGCTTGAAATAGTTAACAAAAATATTGTGATAATATATTGTCGTCTCTTTCATGTGGTTACCAGATGTGCAGAAGTATTACAGTGTTGTGTATGCGATGACTGTGTGGCTGAAGAGCCACCAGAATAACAATTGGAGCGAAAATACAATATTTTTATTTTACTTTTTCATAGTAAAGGATAAATAAAAGGGAAATATAAAAATGTTGAAGCAGTTTTCGTTTGAGAGTTAAGACTTTTGCCATCAAAATTGGGTTCATATCGTGTCTATGTGTGTGTTATGCATAACGTTTGGTGCATATCATTACCAGTGATGTTGATATTCATCTCTTCGATCCACAGTCTGATGGATACTTGTGCTCATCATAAGTGGCAGTCATGATAGTAGTCGTCGTGTATATCTATGCCAATGCATACATACATAACACAACATCTCTCGCATCTTAACTACAGAAAAAACTATTTGATTGATTGATATTAACGTTAGCGTAGAGTTTGCAGAGAATTGTGTGGAAATGCGATGAGAAAAAAGACGAGAGACTAAAGACTGAACTCTAAATACAAATGTTATGTTAATTCCCAGTGAATGCATCGATGTATTGCTGGCAGTAGTACTACAGCTAAATACTTGAGTATATATTGTGTGTAGAAAACAGTCTTTTCTTACAGAAGTTTATTTCGGAAGTTCATCACAACAAATATCAATCCAACCAAATGATTGCACATCTCTCTCTCTCTCTCTCTCTCTCTCAGTATTACACGAGAAAATAGTTGAGTTCAACGATAAAAGTACTCATCTATTGATAAACTTATAGACAACACAATTGTTTGGAGAGTTTTATCCGCATGAGAGAGAGAGAGATGTGCAATCATTTGGTTGGATTGATATTTGTTGTGATGAACTTCCGAAATAAACTTCTGTAAGAAAAGACTGTTTTCTACACACACACACACACACGTTAGAGTTTATACATGATTTTTTTCTTGAATTAATGTTTTTTAGTGATAAAATGATTGATTTACCTGCGAAATAATGGTTTTTAAATTCATATTTTCAGTTTAAAAATTGTTATATTCTTGTAGTATATCATCGATTATTTTTCCACAAATTTTAATAACAATTTATATCACAATTTCTATGCACTACTGTATGTTAATCTATTTCTGTTACACAAATCATTTGTTTTAATAACGCATTCAGAGTAAACATTTTTTAGCAGCAGTTTTGCAATTGTGTTAAGCATTAAATCAAATAATTTTACACCAATTTTTATGATTCATTTTCTGGTTCGACAAATACACATAATTTTTGTAGTTTTCACGTGAAAAACCAGTTATACATTGAATTCACAGCTGCTGTTAATACATAATATGCGGATAAAACTCTCCAAACAATTGTGTTGTCTATAAGTTTATCAATAGATGAGTACTTTTATCGTTGAACTCAACTATTTTCTCGTGTAATACTGAGAGAGAGAGAGAGAGAGAGAGGAGAGAGAGAGATTATTGTCGAAAAGCTATTGAATGAGAGGTAAATGATAAACATGAACTGAAAGAAAACTAAAGTAAATAAAACTATGTTTTTGTGATCAACACAAACACTTGTATAATACGCTGGCATTGAGTCCATACATACGGCTCAACAGAATTTACTGAAACATTCAATACATAAGCTAAACATACATTCGCTCCGAAATTATTATTATTTCAATTTATTTGTGTCCAAAATAATACATGTCTTTCAATATTATAAATACAGAGTATATAAGACTCCGGGAATAACAGTGAGAGAGATATTCTCGTTTACCTCCAATGGATTATAAACTCCAAGAAGTTTATCATTATTTTCTCTTTCAATACCAAACCCCTCACAAAAAAGCACTATTCAAGTAGTGATGAGAATATATTTTACATTAAAGTAAAGTTTTTTATCTGTTATCATCACAACAAAAATGCAATGATATTGATCTGAATCTCTCTCTCTCTCTCTCAGCGTTTGATAAATGAAATGATAAAACATATATCAAAAGTATACTCCGATTGTAACAAAAAACAAGAATATCTGGCGGAATCATATATATAGTTTAGAAAAATCTTATATAAATAATACATGTCTTTCAATATTATAAATACAGAGTATATAAGACTCCGGGAATAACAGTGAGAGAGATATTCTCGTTTACCTCCAATGGATTATAAACTCCAAGAAGTTTATCATTATTTTCTCTTTCAATACCAAACCCCTCACAAAAAAGCACTATTCAAGTAGTGATGAGAATATATTTTACATTAAAGTAAAGTTTTTTATCCGTTATCATCACAACAAAAATGCAATGATATTGATCTGAATCTCTCTCTCTCTCTCTCTCACTCCACACGTGATATAGAAATCAAGTGAAGAGATATAACATTAATGTTAAGCGAGAATAGAGTAATATTTTTTAGGGCCAAACCTCTCAGAACTACTGAAACTCTGAAACTACTTGTAATCATAAGAATACATGGGTTTGAGAGCACATACATCTCAAATAAATTGATCGCCCATTCCTTGCAACACAACTCCTCGCAGTTTTCCATTCATTTTGTCCCAAATATATTCGTATATAACATAAATAATATAAATATCGGTTGCGTTTTGCCATATTTATATATAAATGTCTGAAAAATACTGATTTCTAATAGAGTTTAAGTAGTTATCGGGAGCCAAACGTTTTTTTGGTTTGTGAGCTAAATATACATTTAAATTCAATTTTTCTCGTATGCGGTGATTGAGTGTCTGATTTACATAACAAGAAATGAATAATTTTGTGAATTTTATTCCTATGGATGTTTGGCACTTATTTTATATGTCAGTCCCTCAATGGCACACCACATACGCTCACACACATTGTCGACCCCCTCCCCCTCTGGCCGCACACCTTAGATATTTAAGGCATTCATGAAATTTGAGTCCATTTTTCACAATCGGTGCCAAAATTCTTACAGTTATTCTGTTTTATGAAAAATGCTTTTTAATACTATTTTCTGTTACCATTTCTCGACATGTGTTCCCATATTATTATTGAAACCACTATTTCAATGGCTATTCTTAACCACAATGCTATTAGTTATTAAACTGTTATAACTGTTATTCGCATTTCTCTCTCCATATAATTCAATATAAAAATTATCGCTCTTTTCGTACATTTATTTCATAAGATTCATGACTGTATGGCACGAGTTATGGCCTATTATTTGTTTGAGTTACCAGTGCTGTAGTCTCTCCCTCCACACCCGTGACACTCATATAGTTTTTGACCACAAAAATGGAAAATATGTTCACATTTTATGATTGTTTTGGCTTAACGTTTAGAGTTTAACAGTAAATGCATGTCTGATGGAGAAAATTGAATGAATTGGAGGCTAAGAGAAACCATATATTTATGGCACAAATGATATGTCAAAAACAAAAACGTAAAAATGAATGCAATGAATGCCTCGCAAACGATATAAATAAATAACTGAATGCCAAACCTAGTGCTCACACAAAGTGTAGGGCAGTATTGGACAGTCGGCTGTATATAGACTACTGTCTGGAGTGGTCTCTCTCTCTCTCTCTCTCTCTCTCTCTCTCTCTCTCTCTCGATGTATACATAGTCTAAGAGTAACACAAATACTGAATAATTAGCGAAGAGAGAGATCAATCAAAGTGTTTAATACGATAATCATATGTTGTGTGCAGTCTTTGCATCAAATCCATTACATCTCCCAATGCTATAAGTCGTGATCAATAAGACATTTGCCAATAAATAAGGACTCTATAGATATAAACCCATAGATTCCGGAGAGAGAAGTACTGTTCCCCTAATATAATGGCTTAAAATTCTTTGCGCTATTATTGTTGTTATTTTGTTAGCAATTTCAGTTGAAACAGTACTTTATATATAAGAAGTTTTTTAAAGCGTCGGCTGATTTTGACAAACTGGCCAAACGAGAGGTCACTTTATTATTACAAGAGATGACAGATTTATTATAACTACAGCTGCAGACAAAAACCCATCGCTTCGGTCACGAAATTGCAATGCGTTTTGAAAACCGCCACCGCTTTGAGCCATTGCCTCACAACCACCACCACCTTACCTAACATACCATACCCTACCATTCCCCTGCCCTAGCATTTGGTAATGATTGAAAAACGCAATGATTATAAAACTGTTATTTCAGAAATATATATAACTTTTAATATAATTGTTTCATTGATCAGGAATTAAGGGGAACGGTAGGAGAAAATATATAATAAATTAATCGCGTCTATAAATTAAAGCCACAATTTTTCTCGCTGGTAATGGGCCGGCACATACAGGGGCTTACATAAGCGCTTATGGCTAAGGCAATAAATTATGCCAACTTTTAATGTATTAATTTTTATTTGTTACCTTTTTTATTATATACACTCATGTAATACATTATCTGTAATTCCGATTCATTCAACTCATCGGGGAAATGTGTGATAACTATAACTACTATAACATGAATTCAATTAAATTATAATTAAAAATAAACTCATGTTTTTGAGAGAATGAAAACATGTTATTATTTTTTGATAAAATATTTTTATAATATTATTATCAATACTTTTATACATTTAGCTATACTTCTCAATACATATTGTTTTAGAAAGTCAAGTCAAGTATAGGTATTAGCAAACGAGTGGTTTATTTTCACATCAATACCACTCATTAATTGAAAAACTTATCTCTATATTCATATAAATATAAATCATTTGTTTTATGAATAAAATACAGATTTGGGAAAACAATACGAGAGACAGAATATAATGGATAAGAGATAAAGAGTTCATAAAAAGGAGTCGTTTTTCTACTATTATTTGGCGAAAAGAAATTCCCATTTTTTGTTGTCTTATATTTGCCAACAATTCGGTCACAATTGAGAGATATTTTATCGCTTATGTATTGTGTTTCTATCGACTCAGCCTTTATTTTAAAGAAACAATGGCTCAACAAATGGCAAAAGTATTATTTGCAGTGAAATACGAGTAATGATAGACTGAGTTGTGTTTGAGTATTGATATGATACACACATATCCATCCAAACCAGTGGACAGACTACTGGCAGTGTCTGTGCCTTTCAATTGCTTGCATGACTGGCACTACACTCTCGGAGACAAGAGTTTTATATTAATAATAATAGTGTGGCTTTGCTTCTGGAGACTGCACTGATAGTTGAGCCAATGGTGCACCTGAGCCTCCCTTTCCCCTCTGCCCGTCAATCCCTCACTCCATTCGCCACTCACTTTCACTCGCTATTAGAAACCTCTTTCTCTCTCTCCCTTTCCCTTTCCCTTTGGCTTTTCTCTTACAGTTTGCCATACAATCGATAATTTCATTGAAGCGATGATAACATTTAGGGCTAATATTTAGGAATCGGTGCCCGAAATGATTCAATGATTCAAATACGGGTTCTCTGTGTTTGCAACGATACCTCTGAACTAGTAAATAGGCATTCAGTCTCTCAATACTTGCCTAAACTTTTAATGTATTAATGGACTCAATATGTTATTCTAGAGAGAGAGAGAGAGAGAGATTTGCATTCGTTTTCAACAGATTTTCTCTTATTAATGAGCGTAGAAAAGCCAAAGGGAAAGGGAAAGGGAGAGAGAGAAAGAGGTTTCTAATAGTGAGTGAGTGAGAGAGAGAGAGAGAGTGAGAGAGAGAGAGAGAGGTTTGCATTCGTTTTCAACAGATTTTCTCTTATTAATGAGCGCTGGACTGAAAATCCATTTTATGTTTTATTCTTTAATTAATTTCATTAATTTGTTTTAACTCTTTATATCACATATGAAAGTAATTAACGCCTGAAAGAACAGCACTTGTATTACTCACACATTGAGCCCAAACACCACTTATAATAACAGTTGTCTTAAAAATATCAATTCTCTCAGCCTTTCGTTTTCATGCAATTTATATATGAAAAGCATTTCTCATTTGTAGCACAACAGCAAAATCAACACACAAACAAAAACACTTTGATTAATATCTTTAATAACTACAAACTATATGTTATAATAATTCATATAATAGTTACGAAATATTAATGAACATAATATTTAAATTAAATTCAACAAAACTCTGGAAACACTGTGTTTTCAAGAGTGGCTCTAACTTTCAATTTGATACACTATTTATATATACAAAGTCTTACATTCACTATACATATCTAAACACGAAATTTACATAAAAAATCTATTAAATGATATTAAAATTTTTAATAATAAAAACGCCACACCTTATATAAAATGTATAAATGCTATATTTTTGCCTTAAACGTCAAACATTATAGCCATGTATTTGGCGAAAATCCTATTTCAAGAAAATTAAATATAAAAAATCTATGATTCCGTTATAAACGAGTCCAAAGTCAAGACATGCTAATCATTGACACACTATATCCTCTATCAGTTATTATATGTATTTGCAATGCATTTATTGTAAATATACTTCACTTATATAACTTATAACTGACACATAAATGTATAAAATATAAGTTAAGGTGTGATAACTTGAATGAGAAATGTATCCATGTTAATACACGGTTGAGAGCAAAATCGCTTGTATTAAATAATAATGATTATTAAACCATTTAAACCCACATACGATTGTTACAGAATCGGAAAGAATAAGAAAAATATATATAACAACAAATAAAAATAATCGCTAAACATTTAAATTGCATAAACTTTAAAAAATAAAAATTTAATAATTTTATATTTTTCTTATTCACTTATATTATCGATGATAACATCTCTCAAATTCATTACTATTATTATAACAACACTATTATTATTATTATTAACTAAAAGGAATACACTTTTAATTAGGGTTAGGGTTAGACGACCTCTCGAGTGGTAAGTCGTGCACATCATTCTCGCTCCGGTATATCATATACTGTATACAAGTTTGAGACAACAGTTGGTCTCCACTCCGAGAAACGAAATAATAGGTGCGAAACAACTTCACATCTCAAATGAATGTATATCTCAATGAATCTAAATTAGTGTATGGTTTATATGCCTCGTGTTTGTGCACTGAGAGAGACCTCATCCTAAGTAAACGGAGTGTAAGTCAAGTATTTAATGAAACAATTACTGTATCGCTGTTTACAGCGAACTGTGTTTTTAAATGCTATTTAAGGCTAAGGATGTTGTGCCCATCAATTGAGAGGATCGGGAGCAATGTTTGTCTAATTAAAACAAACTTTTACGTTAAATACAGACCAAATGTCTTACCTTTTAGTGTAAACACATCACCAAATAATGTGTGCAATAATTTGTAGCGTTTAGTCGATACAAACTTTTATAACTTTTTTTCGCTTGTATGTGATGTTATAATCTGATAATTATTTTTATTGTTGTATTTGATTATCAATACAAGTCTCCAGCGATTTGCTTCTCATATAATATCCATAATAATGCCTTCAAATTGCAAATAACTCGGAGTCGAGACAAAAGTGTAGTTTTTCTCGAAAAATATAATACAATCCCAGAGTTAATGAACCGATCATTCAATGAATAGATAAACGATTCATCAGTTAATTGCAGTTTTAAAATATACACCAAAAGTGATATAAATTTCTTATACGTTTAGAATTACATAATCAAACAGTTAAACAAAAATCTTTTTATTTGTTTCAAATCATCTCACATATGAACCGCACAAAGAAAAAGCACCAAGAATATTATTATTTGTATATTAGATACTTGTATGAATAAAATCCAAATGAACAAAAAGGTTTTATTACACTTTTGTTGTGCAAATTCACTTGAAATACACAATTAGTTAGTTAATAATGAGTTAAAAATACAAGTTTTGTTGTTTTATTAATCGTTTTGAGTAAAAACAAAGTATTGTTCACTATTTCAATGTATAATCACTTTCTAATTGAGTGAAAGTAGTTTTCTATAGAGAGGGTGAGAATACAAACTTATATTTAATTTGTAACACAAAATATATATAACTTTTTTCGTGAACTACACTCCAATTATGCCCACAATATAATAAGATCGGCACTCAGATAGTTAAGGTGATACACACATTCATAACCAGCCCTTCAACGAAAATAAAGTTTTATATAACTATTGCAATGTTTAGCGAGTTTTGCTGAACACCTCTGCACTGAATGAGAAACACCTTTATGTGAGGATATCATACCTGAGACTAAGCCCGCAGTCACTGCATACGAAACGCTCGCAACCACTCTATCGTTCAATACTGCAGTCAACGCAATGCTATTCAATGGTTTGGTGGCGAGTCTTGCATAGCGTTTGCAACACAAAACTTGTGCCTAAAGTTTTGCGGCTGTAAAAGACATGCGCTCACTATTACGGTGTTTATACCTCACTCTATGTGTTGGCTTTTATATTATTTTTTCTTCGGGAATGCCTTTTATCGGAGGAAACCCTTAAATATTTTGCAAAATACTTCCACAAGTGTTAGAAAACCAAAACTTTTTTTACATCGAAAATATACACTTGACTTGATATTTGTGTGGTAGTCATGAATCCGTTGATACACTCTATCAATCAGTATTGGCTATTAATCCCAGTTTACAAGAGTTTTCATATTTATTTTGATAAATAATTTGATAAATAAAACTAAAATTTATAAGTATATATTTCACTACAGTTGCGATATTTAAATCACACTTTTATCTCAAATCAATATGTTTTATAAAAAGCAACAAAAATCTTATGAAAAATATAATCTATAAAATATATAATACTCTTTGAGAGTTTATTTAGTAATTTTTTTGAGAAGATCTATTAGAAGTTAATCTATCATTTCGTTTCAAAAGAGAGATGACTATCAAAGCAAAAAATTACTGAACTTTTTCTAATATCATTGCATTCAGTGGTGAACCTTTTATTTGGTGAACCCTTTTTGTTTTATTTATATACAAAACATTAGATACACTTTGGAGAGAGAGAGAGAGAGAGAGAGAGAGAGAGAGAGAGATAAAGAGAGAGAGAGAGAGAGAGAGAGAGACTTTTGTGAGATTTTCTTGAGCTCTTAAATTATTACATTTTATTGATTTCATGACACTGTGGCTCCCATTGAATTCCTGGAACAAACTTTGCGCACAAAACTAAAACTTTTAAAAATATATCTATCATTAAAAATGTTAAATTAATTTTAGAGCCGTTTTTCTCATGAATTTATTTTTTTGCGGGTTTTATCTGACGGTTTAGTTTCCATTTGGCATTCAATTAGAGCACATAATAAGCAAAATCAATGGTCTATACTATACGTATCGTTAGTTTACTCTTTTAATTATTGAATTTCTGTAAATAAAGTATAATTTAGTTTAAAGTTTTAATTGAAATGATTTATTAAGAATACAAATAATATATACAAATGTGTTTGCAATCAATTAAGAACCGGTATATTTAATGATCGCTAAATTCTCTCTCTCTCTCTCTCTCTCTCTCTCGGCTCTCTTCCCATATATTAAGATTCAATTGGAAAAACCGATTAGACTTTGATTTTATTTACAGTTAACCCCAGAATCTTAACTGTAATTTAAATTTTAATGCAAAATATATGTTAAGCATAGGATGGTATGAAAATTTTATTAATTTTTTGCACAAAATTCTTAGATTTATTACGAGATAATCCAAAAATAAAAATATTCAAAATACTACTGGAGTTCATCTCAATTTACAATATTGAATGATCTGTTTATTATGAATAAAAGTATGATTTTTTAAACTTTTTTTTGAGACTCTACTAAATATACTTTTTGTAAATAATTTTTGCAAAAATATTCAAAAACTATAAACTTTTGGAATGAATTCGTGAAGAGATTATCATATTTTTGAGAGAATTTATTATTATATGAATGAATAAGTTGGGTAATAAATAGCATTTTATTTTTATGTGTATTATTCTGTATAAAATTAAATAATTTTAAGGTAAATAAAAATATATAAGTTACTATATCGAGTCAAATAATTTTGTCAATCATTGTGTCACAAATTATATGTCATAGAAAATTACAAAAATATCTATATTATATACTTTTATTTATTTATAACAAGCAATTTAAAATATTTTTAGACCAAATCGTTATTGAATTCATACAGAAATTTGTATTTTACTATAAATTGAGGTGTAGTTTAGGCTCAGAAATAGCCTAAACTTTTTTGGTCGACTATTTTGTTTAGTTTTGTTTGGTTTTTCTGTCGCATTCAATACAATAATATATTCTTTCCTTTTTTACTGAATATTTTTTTTTTGTTGAATACTCTAATGAAAGAGTTGTTCATTTAATCTCCCAGTTCTTTGACATGACATTTGCAAAAACCTTTAAATGTATTTGTTTTGCAATCTTTCTCTCTCTCNTCATCCAATAGTCTCTTCATTTAAAAGTCTAATTCTTTCACTTATTTTGTAAAAAGTTTTAACGACGACTTAAGTAGAGCTCTCTCTCTCTCTCTCTCTCTCTCTGTCTCGTATTGTAGTCTCTTTTATGCAACTTATTTGAGATTTTCTTTGATTTTTTAATTTTTAATTTTCTTGTTTCTCTGTGTGTTTCTTATAGTCGTATTACTTTTCACAATACTATTGTAATTTATTTATGTATGTTATTTATTTTGGTATTTAGTTTTCATTGTGTTCCTCTAATCAAATATAATACCATTTTTGTGTACGACTCTACCTGTCATACACTACACACACAAAACATATCATTAATTCATATTAAAGTGTAATTGTTTTGATTGTTTTCAACAATTGAATAAATTTATGTATTTTCATACAATTAACTTAGTATTGACTTAAAAATATTGAGTTTTCTTAACTGTAAAACCAGTTCTCAATTATATTCAGATATTTCTATGTTAGAGATATATCGAGAGACACCAAGAAATGACAAAAAATTAATAACATTTCCAGTATTTTTTGTTCAAAATATCCGTTTGGTTTGCAATCGATTCAGAGATAAAGACTACGAGAGAATCAGAAATAAAAGAAAATCCAGTTTTGGGTTCAAATGTTACGAATCCTTAACAAAAATTATTCAATTATTCGCTGTATTTATAAAACATAAGGAAAATGTAATTTTTTCACTCAAAGAGAGCTCTCGGAGTTAAGCATATAATCTGTGATTTGAATATTGATTAGAGACTGAACTGAGAGTCGCAACCGAAAGGGGAAAGAGTTGACGATATCTTGTGTTTTAAATCTTATTATATATTCGTTTTAAATATAATACCATTTTTGTGTACGACTCTACCTGTCATACACTACACACACAAAACATATCATTAATTCATATTAAAGTGTAATTGTTTTGATTGTTTTCAACAATTGAATAAATTTATGTATTTTTCATACAATTAGTATTGACTTAAAAATATTGAGTTTTCTTAACTGTAAAACCAGTTCTCAATTATATTCAGATATTTCAATGTTAGAGATATATCGAGAGACACCAAGAAATGACAAAAAATTAATAACATTTCCAGTATTTTTTGTTCAAAATATCCGTTTGGTTTGCAATCGATTCATAGATAAAGACTACGAGAGAATCAGAAATAAAAGAAAATCCAGTTTTGAGTTCAAATGTTACGAATCCTTAACAAAAATTATTCAATTATTCGCTGTATTTATAAAACATAAGGAAAATGTAATTTTTTGACTCAAACTCTCGAGAGCCTCAATTCGTATATTAGACACTAAACTTATAACTAATCTCTGACTTGACTCTCAGCGTTGGCTTTCCCCTTTCTCAACTGCTATAGAACACAAAATTTAGAATAATATATAAGCAAAGTGTATTAAATCGGAGAGAGAGGGAGAGAGAGAGAGAGAGAGAGAGAGAGAGAGACTAACTAATGGCCAAAATGCATGCCATCCTCGGAGTGAGCCGTCACTAAAGGACAGACACATATCAATGGCGTTTCATATGACAAGCCATGCATTGGATGTGTATTCATATCCAATATATTACAAAAAATGACAAATTGTTTTACTTTTCCTTTTTTTGTATGAGTTTTCGTGCTTTACATTCAATATACGGACAGATATAAAGAGATAGTGTTTTTTCTGCAGTCAATTCAGTCCGCGAGTCAATCAAAATGAGTTGCATTTTGTTTAATTTGAATGTTTGTATAATAAGTTTGAAAACTTCAGACCCAATAAGAGTGATAAGTCATAGGACTGTCAGTTGGTGTATATCATTGGCATCGACAGAAAACATACATTTCTCATACAATTTATTCATTTCTTTATCTGATTTATTGATTTCATGTCCTTTTATATGATTATACAGAAAAACCTATTTTCCCAAACTAACCCACAAAACAGTTTTCAAAAAAGATTTATTTATCATTTGATTTG